TCAGTTAGGTGGGTGTCGTCATTTGATCCGAGCCTTACAGCCATACCCTCAGCTCCACCTCTTTTCCCTTTTATGGAATTGTCTGGGCTTGACGGAAATAACATGGATAGATAACATGCCGGATCCAGAGAACTGTCTATTATAAAGCTGAACAAGACAGTAAAAGGAGAACAGTATGACCTCCCAACAGCAGACACGATTATTGCAAAGCTTAGCGGGGCTTCAATGTTCTCTTCACTAGACGCAGCTAGTGGGTATTTCCAAATACCACTCCACCCAGATAAGCTCACCACCTTCATTACACCTTTAAGCAGGTTCATCTTTAAGCAGTTACCCTTTGGAATAAACAGTGCACCTGCAAAATTCCAGAGGAAAATGATTGAGACTCTACAGGGATCGGAAGGCATCAAGGTATTTATGGATGATGACTTCGTCTTTGGGGCTACAGAACAAGGGCGTGATTCCTGGTTGGAGAAAGTCATGCAGATGCCGGGCTGACATTCAAATGGGACAAATGTTCTTTCAAGCAGAGTGAACTTTGATTCCTGGGACATCTCATCGACCATTCTGGAGTATGCCCCAACCCAGACAAAGTTGAGGCTTTACAACAGCTTCCTCTGCCCACAAATATCCAAGAACTAAAGAAGGTTCTAGGAATGATAAACTACCTAGGAAGGTATGTCCCCAACCTGGCAACAGTGGGAGAACCCCCATACACTCTGGTTAGCACAAGAATGCTTGGGCAGGTCACCCTCAAAGTACAGTGTTTGAACAGATCAAAGAGCAGCTTACATCCGCACTGGTGCTGGCCTATTTATGATGTGACAAAACCAACTGCATGGTTAGCCAATGTAAGTAGCTATGGACTAGGGGGAGTGTTCCTGCAATGGCATGAGGACCAGTGGAAACATGTTGCTCTCTGTTTCAGGCACCTAACAAGAGTCAGAAACCCACTGTGCCCAGATTGAGAAGGAGCAACTGACAGGAGTATGAGTGTGTGAAAAGTTTCAGCAGTACTTTGGGGCTGGATAAATTCAAGCTGATCAGACCACAAACCACTTGTTTCCCCTCTACAAAAACAGCAGCCTCTGCGTCCCTGTTAGGTGCCAATGCCTGCTCATGAGACAAATGAGGTACAACACAGTGGCAGGGCATGCACCATGATAACATTGCTGATTGCGGACACCTTGTCATGCGGCCATCTACCAGAACAAAAGAAACAAACAGCACGGAAAGGGAAGTAGAATCTTATCTGGCAAGCATAGTTCGAGTACTTACATCACAAAACAAACTGGAGGAAATAAGGGCCACAGCCGCAGTGGATGCAGGGCTCCAAGTCTTAATTCAGCTCATCAGGTCAGGGTGCCCTGAACACTCACAGGAAGTGCCTAAGAAGGTTAAAGAGTACTTCCAGGTTAGAAACATGTTGCCGGAGCGCACCAGCTTGATACTGTGGGAACCCCGGATTGTAATTCCAGGACCGGTAAGGGTTGAAGTACTCAGAAAGATCCACAAAGTACACCAGGGGCTAGTGAGGTGCAGAGAAAGAGCATGATCGTCAGCGTAGTGGCCTGCACTTGTGGCAGAGCTAAATAGACTTGCAACGAGTTGCTGAAAGTGCACTGAGGACGAAAGCACACAGATGAGAAAGACTCTCATTGTAACACTTTTGCTAGAAAGTGGCCCTCCACTTCATCCTGCAGCACCTGGACTCCCCGGGCACCTACGCTAGGATCCTGTTTGTGGACTTCAGCTCTGCGTTCAACACCATCCTCCCTGCTCTGCTCCAGGACAAGCTCTCCATGCTCAACGTACCCAACTCCACCTGCAGGTGGATCACTGACTTCCTGACGGACCGAAGGCAGTGCGTGCGGCTGGGGAAGAATGTTTCCACCATTCAGACAATTAGCACAGGATCTCCACAGGGCTGTGTACTTTCTCCTCTGCTCTTCTCCCTGTACACAAACTGCTGCACCTCGAGCTATGACTCCGTCAAACTAATCAAGTTTGCGGACGACACCACCCTCATCGGGCTCATCTCTGATGGTGATGAGTCCGCCTACAGGAGGGAGGTGGAACGGCTGGTGTATTGGTGCAGCAGCAACAACCTGGAGCTCAATGCTCAGAAGACAGTGGAGATGATTGTGGACTTCAGGAAAGTAACAGCCCCATCTCTCCCCTCGTCCTGACAGACACCCCCGTCACCACTGTGGACTCCTTCTGCTTCCTCGGAACCACCATCACACATGACCTTAGGTGGGAGCCATCCATCAGCTCCCTGATCAAAAAGGCCCAGCAGAGGATGTACTTTCTGCGGCAGTTGAAAAAGGCCAAGCTGCCGGCCCAGATGATGGTGCAGTTTTACACGGCCATCATTGAGTCCATCCTCACCTCCTCCATCGCTGTGTGGTACGCTGGAGCCATGGTGAGGGACAAACACAGACTGCAGCGCATTGTGCGCTCTGCTGAGAAGGTGATTGGCTGCAGCCTTCCAACTCTCCAGGACCTGTATGTCTTCAGAACTCGGGGGCGTGCAGGTCGGATAGCAGCTGACCCTTCTCACCCGGGTCACAGACTTTTTGAGCCGCTTCCCTCGGGCAGGAGGTTACGGACCATCCGGACCAGAACCTCTCGCCATAAGAACAGCTTCTTTCCATCTGCCGTTAGACTTGTGAACAGCTTATAAACACACAACCATGCTCGTCTTCGGTACTTGACATAACGTCACGTTATCGGCCATATTACCTTTACCTGCCATTTTTTATAGCAAAGTTTTAGGCTAGTTTATTATATTTTATTCTACTTTATTCTATTTTTTAATTATATTATTCATGTTATATGTAGCACGTTAGTACCGAAGCAAGTTCCTAGTTTGTGAATCGTTTGTTCACTAACAATGGCAATAAACCTTTTCTGATTCTGATTCTGAGAAAGGCCTTGGAAAAAAATAGCCATGGACCTCTGATTATGATCACCAACCATCAACATTTCTGATCATGTCTGCCTACAGGGTGGCCCATTTATATGGATACAGTTAAAGTTACGTTCAAACCAAGCACAGCATTGTTTTTTCTTGTGAAATTCCCAATAAGTTTGATGTGTCACATGACACTCTACCTTTTGAAAAAACATAAGTTGTATCCAAGATGGCTGACTTCAAAATGGCCACCATGGTCACCACCCATCTTGAAAAGTTTGCCCCCTCACATACACTAATGTGCCACAAACAGGACATTAATATCACCAGCCATTCCTGTTTTATTAAGGTGTATCCATATAAATGACCCACCCTGTATTATTTTAGGTTCCTGGAGATACTGTGTCTTCCAGCAGCCACCATCACAATGGTTATCCAAAACCTGAAGACAGTCTTTGCCAGATTTGGCATCCCTGATGAGGTGGTGAGTGATAATGGCCCACAATGCAGTTCAAGGAATTCGCCAGATGCCTAAACTTTAAGCACTCCACATCAAGCCCTCACCACCTGCTGGGCAATGTATATGCAAAGCGGGCTGTACAGACTACAAAGAAGATATTAAAGCAGGAGGTTGGTTCACAGGTCCAAATCCTCCACCACCACTGGCTACAGCCCAGCTGAACAGCTTATGGGAACGAAGTTGTGAACCACACTCCCCACCTTGGAGGAAAACCTCCTACCATGTCGGTCAGACAGCACCTCAGTGGCTGACAATGACAGAGTAAGAAAGGCCAAGCAAGCTTACTACTTTAATCAATGCCATGGAGTCAAGTTGCTGCCACCACTGCATCCTGGGAAAGAGAGAAAGAAAGAAAGAAAGAAAGAAAGAAAGAAAGAAAGAAAGAAAGAAAGAAAGAAAGAAAGAAAGAAAGAAAGAAAGAAAGAAAGAAAGAAAGAAAGAAAGAAAGAAAGAAAACGATATTTTATATAGTGCCTCAAAATCACCAGGCACTTCACAAAAAAAAAAAAAATTAAAAGTATAAAATGGATTTCAAAAGCTGATTAAAATATGTTTAAAATGAGAAAACATTTATAAAAATTGTGATTAAATATAATAATGTAAGGAAAGGGAGAGAGAAAATGAATATGAAAGACAGAAATCAAAGGATCGCAGAGAAAGGCAGAATAAGTAGAAAGGGCATAACAAAGAGAGGGTGGTGACAGGAAAAGGGTGCTGTCCACACTGAAAACTCAAAAGTCCAGCTGTGGTTACAGGAGAAAGCACCACCTCAAAGTTTTCCTACATTCGTACTCAGAATGGAGAGATGTTGCATCAGATCAGCTCTTTCTATACCATGACAGATTGTTACAACGCCCGCATCCGCCTATCATTCTCACGCTCCATTTTTCCCTCACTCGTGAACAAGACCCAGAGATACTTAAAACTCCTCCACTTGAGGCAGGACCTTGTCGCTGACCTAGAGAAGGCATTCTACATTTTTCTTATTCAAGACCATGGTCTCAGATTTAGAGGAGCTGATTCTCATCCTAGCCACTTCACACTTGGCTGCAAACCACTCCAACAAAAGCTGGAGATCACTGTCTGATGAAACCAACAGAACCACAACATCTGCAACAAGCAGATCCTTAGGCAGATCCCCTCAGACACCTTGGCTGCACCTAGAAATCCTGTCCATAAAAGTTATGAACAGAATCGATGATAAAGGGCAGCCTTGACAGAGTCCAACGCTTACTGGGGAGTGGGTGGTTGAGGGGGATGCTGTCAGTCACTGTACTCTATTGATCAGGCAGGCGATGCCTCCTTTAGGCACTTTTATCTAACGGGACGTGTGTGTGAAATAAGACTCCACCCAGGGTGTGACTTACCTTTTAAATACTCCAATCTGACCTGGATTTCCTGCCATAGCACAAGCACAGCTTTGGTTCAGTTCAGAACATTGTGTTTGTTGGTGTATTCATTGTATATGTTTTCCCCATAATAAAACATCTACCAGAAGGAAATAGTGGAAACTAACTGTAAAAATATCCTTTAAACCAGATTGTTACATGTGACTTTACAAACCTCTGCAATCAAATCTCCATTCTCAGCATGCACCTGGGCCACAGCTCCAAGCTCCTTGCACCAGGCAAAGGCAGCATACAGCTCAGAGTCCTTAAGCATGAACACATCTTTGTAGGCCATGAACATCTTAAATGAATTGACTCCTTTTTCTTTGGCTAGAGTCTCCATCTCTGTTTTCACCTGGAAATAAAACCATTTAGGACAAATGCAGGGCAAAAAGAATGGAAAGCATGTGATTAGACCATCTAGTTGTCTCTTTCCCAAAAAAGTCTTGATTTTCCTAATTGACTTCTTTACCTTATCACCCCACCATGTGACAGCAACGTGTAGTGAGTAGTCACAACAAACTTTAGGATCAGCCATCTCCCGCCAGCTGTTGTAGGCATCCAGGAGAGACCTGCCCTTTTGAGGGATAACAAAGTCCAGGATCATGGTGGTCCCTCCTGCGAGAGCAGCCTGGTCAAACATACACATTATCACAGAGAAGAGAGTTAATGGTTAACATGCTGACCTTGAAACTAAAATACATAAAAAAAAGAAAAACAACTCAAACTAAGACTAGTATTGCTTGTTGAGAATTATATATGAATTACATGAACATGTGTGCATTTTCACAAAAACAATAGTCATTAAATGCATTAAAATACAGATGTTTTGATTTCTGATCAAATATATATTCCAGTCAATGTCCTTTACCAGCAAATTTATCTGATAGATTTTCAGGTATAAGGAGCCCATTTTGCATTGCATCTGTGGGTGTGCAGTTTGTTTTAAAGCCCTGAAAATTAGGCTAAAATAGGTTTTTGCAGGAACTCATTCTGATCGAACTATTTTTTAATTGGCAACTTAGATTTGTTTGATGATTGAATGCTCACTGATGAACAATGCCTACTCATCCACCAATCCCTTGTTGTAATTTTGAAGTTTAATATGAATCCATACTTTACCTTGGTCCCAACATGAAAGTCATCCACAGCCTTAGTGCCCATGAAAGCCAGCTCCATGTGTGTATGAGTGTCTATTCCACCCGGGATCACCAGTTTGTTGGTGGCATCAATGACTCTTACTCCCACTGGGATCTGAAGATTCTGTCCAACTGAGATTATTTTCCCATTTTTAATGTAAACGTCACTGATCACAGAGCAGTCCTCGTTTACAACTTTACCCCCTTTAATCAGGATCCCGCAGGACTCAGTCATCTCTGATATACGTAGCTGCAGCCACAGAGTATTCAGGATGTGCACACGTCTGGGAGTTTGTGCAAACTGAAGTCTGCTCTCTGATCCTCCCCCATCTGAGTCCACTAGATCAGCTTCAAAGTCCACACCAGTTATGTTCACTGAAGTGATACAGAAAGACTCTTGCACAGGCCAACATTCCTCTTTATTCCAAACTAGAAGAAGAAAAAACACCTCTCAAGATAAAAATTACAAGGCGCTTTACAAGAACAAATAAATAAATGAATAAAGATTTTTAAAATGATTAAAAAACATAATAAAAATGGGGGAAAAAAACGTGATTGAGAAAATGAATAAGTGAATCCCGGGAAAGGTGGAATTGGTAGAAAGAGCTGAATAAGGAGAGGGTGGTAATGAAGGTCATGCCAAAGCCAACTTGAACAGAAGCGTTTTCAGCTGCTTTTGAAATGATACCACTGAGTCAGAGTCTGGGGGCCACAGCAGCAACTTTTAACATAAGTTTTAACCAGGTGTTTTATGTCAATAGATTGTTTTAAAACTTTTATCAACTCTAGATTTTGAAACACCTTCTGTTTTGGGGAAACTTTTAATAAGTTTTAACCAGGCGTTTTTAATGTTGGTAACTGCTCTTTCAATGTTAACCTTTTTGAGAGTTTTTTTGTTTTGCATTATCTTAATAATGCCCGCCATTTTAACATTTCCTGCCGGGGACGTAACTGTGTGTGTGCGCGCGCGCGAGCGTGTGTGTGTGTGTGTGTGTGTGTGTGTGTGTGTGTTGGTATGGGTGCAGTAGGGGGTGTGTTCATGTGTGTGAGTGGATGCAAATGACAGTTGGTGTGTGTGTGGATGCGAATAAGTATTTGTTGTTGTCATGGTTCTGCCTTCTCTCTGCTTCTGCTGCTATTTTCCCTTCATTGTTTGCAGGTGAGCGTGTTGGGGAGCAGCAGCTGCAGCTAATTGCCATCAGCCTGGCCAGAGGATTTAAGGAGCGGTGCTGCCACACCTCATCGCCGGTTGATACTCTACTGTTGGGTACATCTAGCCACGTCCTTATCTGTGCCTTGACTCTAAGACTCGTTTACCTGAACTAATCCAGCTCTTCATTCTTGTCTGTACCAGCCCTGGATTCCCTCCATCCGCATGAGGTGTGTTTTATCACAGCGTCGTTCAGCTTCCCTGGCCTCCTGCTCTCCACCGCTCACCTGCCTTCCTGGACCCAGCATCTTCTCCAGCGACCATCTCCTCCCAGCATCAACCTGACTTGCCTCTCCCTCCTGCCCCTCGTCCTGCTCAACTCAGTAAGCCTGTTCCTCTCATTATTATACATTTCCTGGTTCTCAGTTTCTAATCACTCTCACCGTTGTTCTTCTTAGAGTCGGAGTTGCCTCGTTTCCTGTCCCGTTTGGATCAGCGCCCTTAGTTTTTGCTTTGTTTCTTTCTAAAATAAAGATATTTTATTATCATCTCTTACCTTATTCCTGAGTGATTCTTCATGTGAGTTAAGAAATTACCACCCATCATGACAGTTGTGGCAGAAGAAGAAAGGGGGTCTTGAGAGCTAAACATGTATGTGGGATCGAAATAAACAAGCCATAAAAGAAATGGACTAATCTGAATTCACTAATCGGGCTTAGCACAAAAGTCAGCCAGATGAGATGCTTCAAAGACCTGCTTTCCGACGCCGGGAGGTTGGCCAGCGGCTCTAACAGCCTTGGGTTCCTGGCTCGTGGCCTTTTTGGGTTAAATGATTCTGGCTCCCTGATAAGTCAACATCGGTCGTGGAAAGGGGAGGGTGTGGTAATCCTCGATCGTGGCTTGACTTTTCGGTTCCTGGTTCCTTCACCTCTGTGGCCTTGAAACGTGGAATTCAGATTGCGGGCCCAAATTATCCCAAACGGAGCCGAATCATCAACTGTTCCAAATTGCTTTTACTCTTAATGTGAGAAGTCTACCGAACACGCAGACTTCCGGTTATACATAGGAAGTCAAAACAAAACAAACGGAGTTGCTTCTAAGTTTTGCCGTAACTTTTGAAAGCTAATTACTTGACAACTGTAAAGCGCCAGGTTCTGCTGTTGCTGGGCCAAGATTGAAAAGCCCAGCAGAGGTTTGCTTAAGGCATCTTTCTTCTTTGTTCTTACTCTGCGACACGTATGCAATGTGGCTTTATAACCTTCTTGGTCACACCCACTTGTATTTCACTCATTAACCACTGGACATTGGATGGCACTGAGGCTCTTTCAAATAAACTCTACCTTCTCAAAGATGGAAAGTCCATGATCACAATTTAACAGTTATTCATATAATACCTCAAAAGTATTACTTTAGCATCAAAGTATTACTTTAAACAGGAAATAATAAAATTCATGTCTTAAAACTGAACAATTTTACCATTAGCATGAATTTTAACTGGAGAAGCAAAAATTGGCAGAGGTTTAACATAAAAGAAAAAACGCAAAACAAGCAGGTTTGTAACTGATAAGAGTTTAAACATATACTTGGAGCACCTTGAAATTTAATGGTGAACAAACCTAAAACACCTTCTTTGATTGTAGATAAACAGGAATGCAAGGTTTATAAAGACTCAGGTCTTGAAGCTCCCAGGAGGACCTAAAAGAAGTTTTACAACTTCCCCTATCTTGAGAAAAGGGGTCAGTCTGAGGTTGATGTAAAACAGACTAGTTTTCTGATATTACTTGCGCCCCCTGATTGGCGTAGAAGGGAGGCCAGTCAAATTGGTGCAATTTACAATCCTGGGAGAGAGTCGTAGGAGGTAACCAGAATGCTGGAACTGCGGGCCAGTTTCAAATTCCCCTTTTTGTTTTTTTTCTGCTAAATAAGAGAAGAAAAACTTTGTGAAAATTCTTATGCTCTCCTTCGTGTAAATCCAAACAAAGTTAATCTGAGGATATAAAATGTGGATTTCCACTACAATTGTGACCTTTTAAACTTGTTTAAAGATATTTCAATACATTAAATAACAAATTGAGTAAAGTAAAATGAAAACAGAAATAACATTTATGGGAATGTCACATGAACGTTAGTATCTCTGTGTCCCTCGTGCTGCATAGTCCTGGAAACCCAAGCTTCCTTTGAATTCATTGTTTTTAGTGGTTGAAGGTTACAGTAATGGCATATTTCCTATGTGTGTTCACCGGTAATCATTTTTGCTTCTTCTTTTTCTCTAAGTGTGTGTGCTGCTGTAACAAGTGAATTTCCCCACTGTGAAAATAACAATATGTGTTCTATTCTATTCTATTCTATTCTATTTAAAGGGTTCTCTGATAAACATCTGATTTGAATATGGTTTGGCTATTAAGAGATGCTGAGGGAAGAAATCCAACACAATACTGAAGAATCCTAGCTTATTGCCTTTGTGTGTTTACCTATAATTGTGTTTCATCTTCCTTTTCTTCAAGTGTTCGCTGTAGCAAGTGAATTCCCCCAATCTGGGATTATTAAGTCTAATCTATTCTAACCATAACTAAAAAATAATTCAACCCATGTCTCTAAAACCAACTAGCAGAGCTCTGTAACATCGTAAAAAAGTGAGGACCAGAAAAAATGTCCTCATTTTGCAACTGTAACGTACCAAAAGGGTACATTTTCACCATCTAATTGACCAGCATAATAACCTTTTATCTACATTCGTAAACCCACTATCTATCAGGCCTCCAAATCCAGAAGGTTCTGCTCAGTGCTTGTTTACATACAAGAAGACACAACATTCAAACAGACATTCTCACCCAAGGTCCGGTGTCGGTACAAGATCTGCTCGGGTGCAAAATCGGCTCGGGGTCCGTCGACTGCCGGTGACGTCAGAGTAGTTGATTGGCTGAACATGAACCTTACGGAATTACGTAATCACGTTACGTCGTTATCACGTTACGTTGGTCCAGGCAAATTTTTCTGTTGGAAAGATGGACAACTTTTACAAAGAAATCCATCATTACCTCTTTAAAAATACACTTTTAGCATAGAGCTGCATGTATATTAGGGCTGAACGATTAACTGCATATGCAATTAAATTGCGATGTGACAAAAGGAGATTTTCTAATCGCAAAGGCTGCAATTTGGCAGCGAGTGGTTAGCGCAATGCTAATATACATGCAAAAACCCATTTTCTAATGCTAATATCACCGATTACATTCTTACAAATTATGAATTAGAAATGTGCCAAATGATTACATTTGGAGTCTAATAGAAAGTAAAACTACCATCAATCAAATAAGTACAGACAGGTATTTTAGTAAAGCCAGAAAACTTTTAACTCCAGAGTTTTGGCTAGCAGCTATGAGCCTAACTGAACTACGCATGGACAAGACGTCAAAAACTAAGCACAAAATACTTCAATAAACGGGACACACTTCTTTCCTGCAAATACAATTTCACAGGTGTTGCTAATACCCAAGGGCGGAAATCCCATTTCAATTTGGGGGGGGGGGGGGGGGGGGGGGGGGGGGGGGCAATAAACATTAAAACTTCAGAGAGTAATTTTTGGGGGGGACATGAAAAAAAATGCTCTCTACATACAACACTGAAGAAGAAGAAGAAGAAGAAGAAGAAGAAGAAGAAGAAGAAGAAAATATCATTTCTATAGCGCCTCTCAAGATAAAAATCACGAGGCGCTTCACAAAAGTAAAAAATATAAATATAAAAATATAAAAAGGCATTTAGAAAATGTTTAAAAATATATTTAAAATGAGCAAAAATAAGCAATTGCGAATTAAAAGAAAAAAAAGGTTAAGAAAGAGAGAGAGTGAATAGGAAGGAGGGAAATCAGTGGATCCTGGGGAAGGTGGAATAGGTGGGGAGAGCAGAATAAAGAGAGAGTGGTAGAAGAAGCCAGCTTGAACAAGTGAGTCTTCATCTGCTTTTTGAAGGAGACCATTGAGTCCACTGATCTCAGGCTCAGGGGGAGAGAGTTCCAGAGTCTGGGGGCCACAGCAGCAGATGATCTGTCACCTTTGGTCTTTAGCCTGGTGCGTTGCACAACCAGTAGACTTTGGTCACTGGACCTCAGGGACCTGCTGGGGGTGTAGGGACTAAGAAGATCACCAATGTAAGAAGGTGCTTGTCCATGTAAGGCCCTATAGACCAGAACCAGGATCTTGAAATGAACCCTGAAGTTGACTGGCAGCCAGTGAAGCTGAAGGAGAAGCGGGGTGATGTGGGTGTATTTGGAGGACTTGGCCAGATGCCGAGCACAGGCATTCTGAACCACCTGTAGACGGTTCAGGGAGGTTCTGCTCAGACACGTGAAAAGAGTTACAGTAGTCTAAGCGTGAGGAGATGAAGGTGTGGAGAACTGTCTCAAGTTCAGAGCGAGACAGAATGGGACTCAGCTTAGCAATGTTCCTGAGATGGAAGAAGGAAGAGCGAACAAGAGAACTGACATGAGAATCCAGGGTGAGAGCTGGGTCAAAGGTCACACCAAGATTCCTGACGGAAGGTTTGGTGTGAGAAGCAAGCTGACCAAGAGAGTCTCTGACTTTGGGAACCAGCGTGTCTGGGGCACAGATGAGGATCTCAGTCTTATCTTCATCCAGCTGAAGAAAGCGCCCAGCCATCCAGGCTTTGATAGAGTCTAAGCAGGTGTGTAACAGCTGCAGCTTAGACATCTCATGGGGCTTAAAGGAGATGTACAGTTGGAGGTCATCTGCATAAAGATGGTAGGAGATTCCTTTGAAGGAGCTCAGGATGTGCTGAAGAGGAAGCAGATAGAGGAGGAAGAGCAGAGGCCCCAGCACAGAACCTTGTGGGACACCATGGGTAAGAGAGGTGGTGGAGGACCTAAACTGAGAGGGTGCTCGCTGCAGAACTACAAAGGCGGAGCTGCACCATAAGGTGGAGCTGCACCAGAGTCAGCCCCGCCCATTCACGCAAACTCAGCCTAGCCCACTGACTTCCGTTCTTGTTTTTCAACTTTATCGCAAACTAACCTGACTCTCATGAATTACGGCTGTTACTAGTTTACAGTCGTTAATGCTTTGTTCTGTGCGCCAATTAAACAAGATAAATATAACTTGCTACATGACAAAGTCTGAATATATCCTGAAATGAAAAGGTTTCTTTCAGCGAATATCTGCCCACAGCCGCTCCACCAAAACTCCTGTACAACAACATTTGACTTTATTATGTGAGTTCTGGTAGTCCAGTGGCAAGATTGTTTAACTTAAGTTTTGCTTTCCCCTCAGCTGATGCTGGTTCGGTTCTCGGTGGGATCGGCAACAATCTATTTTGCCAGCTGAAACATTTAATTTGTTCATATTTTAGTTGTAATGTTCATTTTCAGCAAAATATTTATGTCTCTACAAGTTCTTTGAATTTGGTCGTTCCTAAACAGCATTTTAGTTGAAACTCTGCTCACAAATGGACTCACACTGGCTAAATAAACGAATGAATAAATAAAAAAAACACATTAGTCATTATATGTTAAACGGCATACCAATAAATTGTTGTAAACATAGTACTG